TTAAGTGTTAAAAAGTCCACAACGTGGTAAAAAATACAACAACAGTCGAGTCCAGAGTAATCTGTTCCGTTTTCTGATTTTTATGCAGCGATTTATGCGAATCAACGAATTTGATCTGACGATACCCACCTGAGACTGTGTTAGTTAAAGAGTTCGTAAAACTTCTCAGAAGATTCCTCGGTAAGAGCTCAAGAATTAAGGAAATTAATGAAGAATTTGAATTTATAACCATTACAATTTCACTTGCCGCCTCGGCAAAACGAAAACAACTGTTAAACTGCCACAGGCAAACCAGTTTTCGGTGCAGTCATGCAAAGCATGTCACGTCACGTATAATTCTGCCCGTTCATTTGGAAGGAGGGTAGAAATTCTTCCATACTGTACGCTAAAACATTTCTAAAATAAAACTAGCTTTGGACTGTTTCATTTCTAACCAGTTAAAAAAAAGTACAACTTTCCCCCCTGTTTTCATGAATGAAATTCTTGGCCTGAAGTTTACCAACTGATGCACCCCAACCTCGTTCCCAGGGCTTTTCCCTCAAAAAATGGCCCTGGGGACGAGGTTGGATGCACCCTTCTTGCTAGAGGGGCGCTGTGCACTTCTTATATTTTACCTGCCGTTTTTAATAATTGCGTTTCAAGTTCAAAATGTTCAACTATACCTAGTGTTAGAATTACCGAATACTGAAAGAAGGATATCAAAGGCCACCAAAGCGGTGGGGGATCTAGGGGGACCTGACTTTTGTTTGAGACTGAAATTCTTACATTGACAGGACCGTATATCACTTTTTAACTGACTGATTTTTTTAATGAAACGCTCGCTGAATCTTGCCACTAAACTAAATTCCAGGGATATTCAAAAATGTAATTGTTTTCGGGTACCCTTCGCCTCTGCTCGCAAAGCAAAATTTTTTTTCTAGTTATATTATTAAAGTTTCACTTGTAGCAAGAAAAACACAGCATAATTTTACTCATGTGATGCGAAAAATTGTCACGATAAGATTTACTAACTGACATAGTATAGATTCTCTTGTAGTAATTCTCGAGTGCAGCAGCAAGGCTAGTTTACAAAATAAAAAGAAGAGAAGTGCTCAGCGCCACTCGTGCTAGAAGTATTAGTTGCTTCCGAACCCTTACAAGTGGCGGATCCAGAGGGGTTCCGTCACTGGATCCGCCAATTTTTTTTGGAGACCGGGCTCCCCCCGTATCTCGAGGCTGCTTACAGTGTATCAGGTGACAAAGAAAAGGAAAAGTTTCATTCCGAGTTCATGAAAACAGGGGGAAAGTTACTCTTTTCTTTTGCTGGTTAAAAATGAAACAGTCCAAAGCTAGTTTTATTTCATAATTTTTTTAGCGCCCAGCATTGAAGAATTTCTTCCCTCCTTCCCGGGGCAGAATTACGTGACCTGACATGCTTTGCATCACTGTACTGAAAACTGGTTTGCCTGTGGCAGTTTGACAGCAATAGTTATCTCCTCCAAATTTGGTTGCGTCACCCAGAATTCAACTCCACAGAAATTCACCAACAATTGACCTTTCAAGCTCTTTGGAATAAAATCAAACTCAGCGCAAGAAACTGATTAGTGACGTTTTCAATGAGCCGGGGTCGTAGCTACTAAAGCCCTCTAATAACTGGGAAGGAACGCACCTAGAGTCCAGCAAACGATAACTGAGTCCTTCAAGAGGTTTTGGAGTCCATGACGACATGAATAGCAGTCCCGCGTTTCAAGCAAGGGGGGCAAAACGGTCCCAAGTTTCAACCAAAGGAGGTAGAAACGGTGTCCTCAGTAAAAATACTCGATCGTGTGGGGTACACCGGGACGATATAATAAACCTCTCAAAAGCGCTTTACACCTTTTTTTACTATGTGAACGTCTCGCGATCATTTTGCACCGAGGCTGAGCCATAAAGGAATGAACATTGCTGTTCTGGACGATTTCATCAAGATATTTATTGAATGACCTAAAGAATTACGAAAATCGAGGATGGAGGTTATCGGCTTTACACCCTCCGAGATCATGTTAATGCCAAATATAATTATTTAATTATTATTATTCAATCAAAGAATATTCAAGCTTACCTCGATCGATCGATGTTAAGTTCCCGTTTTCATTTCTCTGTTCCACGGCAAATTCTATACCAAAAAAACTATAAAGGGGATGTTTAGTCAAGCAGATATACTTCAAATATATCAGGGGCACCCAACGACTGTTTTTTGTCAAATACCTCTTCGGAGAAGCAAAAATTGCCTTGAATTTTCTATGGCTTGAGGACGGCTAAAAATTTCTAGATGACCGTTCCATTCATGTACAATTTTCGAAGCCTATCGAATCAATTCCCTACGATTTTCTGAAGTTTAATTTTTCGTATTTCACTCCCTAGAAAAGCTATTTGTCGTTCATGGGGAAGGAAACCTAAAATTTTCGGATTCAAAAATGTGTTAGAGCCAGAGAGAAATCAGAAAAATTCTAACTTCCGTAAAACTTTAGACTGTATCTAAATTTTCATAAGATGATTCTGAAGCCCTAAGCAACTGAACTAACGCACTCCAGGCGATCGCAGGTACTACTGACGTTGTTGGTATTGCTTCGGTGCGGTTCACCATAAACCAGTTAAGAGTCAAATTCTTATCACCTTATTGTGATATCGCCAAAAATATATCGAAAATTTCGTTAACATAGAAAGAATTTTTCCCTGTCTGTATATTCTTATTCGCTAAGGGAACCGTTAAAACTCATGGTCCCCATTTCCGGAAGAGAACTGTCGATTGAACTTCCGGATTTCCAACTTCCGGCGTGAGTCAGTTAATAATATTGTATTTGTACTTATGAATTTGTTTCTACAAACCGTGTGCTACTCACGAGTAACAAGTACAACAGGAAAAAAAGAAATAATATCCGCTTCCCCCGAAATAAAACTTATGCTCAAGAAATATAAAAACCACTTCCTGTACATTTTCACTTATGACAATTCATGACCATTCACCTTAACTTATTTCCTAAGAGCTAACTTATTCTGTACGATATTGGTTTACAACATTTAAATATTATTCATTACTAGACTTAAAAAGAACTGAAGATAATGTCCCTTTGTCAAGTGACACAGCTAGCTTGCACTGTAACAGGCTTAAATTTAATGTAACAACTGATTTGTTAACCAGGTCCAAATTAATCTTAGTTCAATCATATTCTTTTATCTTGTCGTAACTTCTAAATTTAGATAATACAGTGTAATTTCCGAGTTTGAAAATAATTAGCATAACAAATGAATGGTGCACCTGATGTTAATGCGGTCCACAACGAGGAAAAAGACATTCTTTGGAAACTCAACTGTAAAAGAAAAACGAAGACAGTCGCAAACCTTTTATTGAAGCTTGTAGTTGCAAACTATGCTTACTCCTCATATAAATCGATCAAATCATTTAAATGGAACTTTGTTTCTTTTGTTTCTTTAAGGTTTCTTTCTTTCTTCATGCCTGGATAAGTCTTTTCCGGCTGAATATTTTCACGAATGAATTAACTTAGTTAACATATAATTCCCTTGGTTCGTTTTAAATGGTCTTTTTATGATCCAGATGAGACTGAAGTACCGTACTACGCCCACCAATTTGCGGACATTTTTTAACAGTTACAACATTCTCGTAAAAATATTTTGTCATTCTGTGCTATTAATTTCAGCCCACCTAAACGTGTATAAAAAGACAAACAGCTGCACAGTGCAGATAACATAAACGTGGAGAAGTTCCTCATCTTCCATCTAGAGATAAAAACCTCCGTGATTCCAGCCATATCTCAGTCCCAGAACCCGCCAGTACACAAGATGATTTTGGTAAGTTTGTACTGCTCTGATCATTAGTATTTATTTATCTTTTGCAATGTAGTCCTACCTTTTGAATCTAGAGACGAAAGCTTATATGTTTGAATTCTAAGTGGGATTTTCTTGACTTTAAGGAGCGGGTCGAAAAAGTTACTAAGTTATTTCACATTTAACTTCACTGGTATAAAATCATTAATAGACTTGGGAGCAGTGCTTTTAAAATTTGTTGCTACAAATATTTCATGGGTATCACCATAAGGCAAGGCTGCTTTCTTACTAGTGTGAACGTTCTTTTACTTGCATATAAGAATTTAAGGAGATGCTAGAACGCTTAATCAGTTTCCCCCCCAACTCTCTATTTGGCGCCATTCTCTACCAGCTGAACGCCTGGAATATTCTGTGTCAATGCACCAGAAAATAATGTAAGGGTACTCTCTGCGATTTTCAGTGATAATTAAGCTTTGAGGCCAAAAAAGGGAGAGTTATATGTTTTTTTTAAACTTTTTTTAGAACTATCTCTGTTTGCTCTTCATTTTTGCTGCAAATTTAACACACCTGTGATGCCATCTGTTGAAAAATGGTTAATTTTGTTCTATTTTTATCAAGCAAAATAACCGGCAAATTTAGTTTTTGTTTGGTAAAACGTGTGAAATAACCGCAGAGAATCATGATCAGTGTCCATGAATATTGGTCCATCCGGGATCCTCTAAGAACTCGGCCTATCATTTTTTTATGAACTCGCCAAAACCGCGTGTTGGATGTTAAAAAAAGCAGGCTAAAAATAGAGAAAGCAAAACTACTGTCTATAGCAGGTAAAAAAACCAAGATAAAATTCTCACATGCAGGTACAGTCAGGGGTAATCTTGATGTCAAAATATCTATAGTTGTAAGGCAAGGTCACAAGCAAGCGTGCGCGTCAGGGGTATCTCAGTCACAAGAGCGCTGATGTCAAAGTAGCAGTAGGTCTTATGGTCGATTCCCGGAGCTGGATGCAATACCCTGGGTTAAACCATAACGGAGAAACCTCTGCTTGGCATGGATGACCTTGTAGATATGCCAGATCACGTCTACAGCAGAGGAAGTAACAAGCGGTTTCACTAAATTACTCAGTTCATTGAAACCTAGATAAAGACGGTTTATTAATCAATGCAGGTTAACTTATCAGTTCTTTTCTTTTATCACAGTACACATTGTTCTCTTTTCTCTTCGCTCTGGAAGTTTGTCAGTCTGCTGTACTTAAGCAAAATGTGAAGAATTCACCAGCATCAATCGACCCTATCGTGGAATGGGGACTTAAAGAACTCTTCTCATCTCGTCGTTATCGACGCTCTGTTCTCTCTACCAACTCGAATATGGGTACGATTGCGCAAACACCTTCTTATGTCAGTAATGTGCGTCTACATGGCAAGACCCATATGTTCCTTCAGATCACCCAGGACGGGGCAGTCAGTGGAGCCACACAATGCGACAACAATGTATACAGTAAGAAATGATTTGTATAATGCGGTCGTCTTCAGTGTTTAGCAATTGCCAAAAGGAGAACCTCAGTTATTACTTAATTAGCAATTGATGAATGAGGCTGAGTAGGATATGAAGAATTAAGCAGATCTAGGAGGGTGTTATCCACAGGGTCCGAAAGCCGAGGTGGATAACACCCTCCCAGATCTGCTTAATTCTTCATATCCTACGAAAGCCGAATTCATTTATTGCTTTATTATTCCTATGTTCTCGAATCTTAACGATTTTAGTATGTTCACAAGTCACTCGAATCGCTTTATTCTGAGTGATGTATTTATTAACGAATCCACTCGTGAGACAGTATAAAATGACGCTGATAGGGCCTCAGTAGATCTTAAAAGTCTGCAAATCAATAAAGGTAAAAACGCAAGAGCGCAAATAAGAGCTGACCTCTTGGAGAGTGATTCTCAGTCGCGTTGTCAGAAGTTGTCCGAAGTGGGAACAAAATATATTTTCACGAAAAAAGGTGAAATGTTTTTAATTAGCCTCATCATCCAATTTTTGACTCGGTATGTTAACTCCTTTATGTTTTCGAACAGGAAATATTATCAGAATTAGTTGAAACAGTGTGTATCGTGATGACTGAAAAGTTATTAAAATGACTGACTGACCGAACTAACAGGGGTTCACCAATACATGCGTCTCACTCAAGGCTATTTGCATCATTTCCCGATGAAATCACCCACTTTCACATCGCATCCATTTGCTATCCTCACTAAACCTTGAATAGGCTAAACGGGAAGTTTCATAAAACCGTCGCTGCTGCGTCAGTTTTGGAATAAATCACTTATTATTGGTATTACCGGGGAATTAAATTGGCTACCACAATATAAGAGATGTTGGCCGTTCGTGAAAGCGAAGAATGAAAATGTAAGACGCAGAACTACAAAACTGTAGATCATATACTTCAAAAGTTTCGGTATTTGAACCACGTTTACTAGGGCATCCTTAGTTATTAACGTGAAAGTGAAAGTTTGCTTTTCTAATTGTCTCTTTTCCGCTTTTTTTTTTTTTAGCCAAACTTGAGGTGCAATCCGTGGGAAATGGAATGAAGCGTATAAAAGGAATTGAAACTGGGCGTTTTTTGGCTATTAACGGAAATGGAAAACTTTACTCTACGGTACGTTGTCATTTGGAATCCTATTTCTCTTCTCTATGTTTTAGCTTTCCTCTCTCCTAAGGCTCTCAACAGGTAAACAAAAGAATATATTCAGTTACAAAAGCCTTCTCTCATCGTTCCCTGGGCGCTATCTTTTCGCCTCTTATAGGCACAAACAGGCCTCTTTGAAGGAGATCAGTTATTCAGAAAGGGTCAACTTATACAGTAGCTACAGGCGCATAGTAAAGGCGCTCCTTCTTTCAGGTCAGTTATTATTGCAACACTCAAGAACTTATTCCTTTTATTTTACAGACTACACCTAGCGATGAAACCATCTTTAAGCAGGAATTACAGAGCTCATCGTACAACACTTTTGCATCAGTAAAATACTACAGGACTTCACTTTACGACGCTTTTATATCGATAGGAAAAAATGGGGTAGCGAGAAATGCTTCGGGTACCAACAAGAATCAAAACAAAGTGAAGTTTCTTTTATTAGCCAGTTGTTCATAATGACGAAACCAAGAACTGCTTTTACCATTTAGCAACTATAAATGATATAGAATAAGTAAAATTGATGAGTTTCAGCACCAAAGATGGAGGAATTTTGGAATAGTTTTCTTTAAGTTTTGATTCGCGAGCTTAATTAATTAGACCATAAAGCATATAAGCTAAAATTTAAAGGCTTAAATTAGAAAAATGTCATATTTATTTATTTATTTATTTAATATATTTATTGTGAAGATCTATCAATTGGTTCTTCACTGTCAGCAATTGACTCGTTAGCTGTTTTCAAACGGCTTTTTGTAAACTTTTGAAAAGTATTGTTTAAGTTTATGTCCTTATTTTTAAGGATAGCTGTTAATATAAAGTATATCGCTATTGACATGGAGTGCCAGCAAAGTTAAATGACCATGTGGTCTCGCGGTCATAAAAGCGTCAGCTGTGAGCGATACGACGGACACATCTCTTCAAACGGCCATTGCACAATATTACAATAAGAAACGTATTCGACCTCCCCCTCGCCCCTCCCCCAAGAGGTCTTCTTGGAAAAAGAAGTCTTTAAACATTAATTTATTGGAATTCGAAAGAGTTTTTATGGCCTTACAACCAGAAGTAAAGTGCTCGTATCGTTCATGGTTTGCGCTTTCCCGAATTATTATTATTATTAGTTAGGTCTTGTCATTACAGTGTGAATTTTCAAAATGAATGCAAATAAAAGCAGCATTAAAGAAGACATTTGGTTTTTATGTATATGTAAAAGCTAAAGCTAAGGTCTTTCCCCCCTTTTTTCTGTTGTTATTGTGGAACAGTCTGCGTCAGTCTTTCTTTGAGAACACTAATTTAAACTAATTTAAACAGTCCGTTTCCTCATTCAATGTGGGGGAGTGTGTGGCCGAGTGGTTAACACCTTAAACCCCGGGTCTGGAGGTCCGTGGCTCAAGCCTTGCTTGTCGCGTTGTTTCCTTAGACAAGGAACTTTACTCCACTTTGTTTCTCTTCATCCAGGTGTATAAAAATGGGTACCGGCCACATACTGCTGAGAGGTAACACTGCAATGGACTAGCATCCCGTCCAGCAGGGAGTAGCAATACTCCTAGGTGCTTCATGCTAATGAAACCGGGATAAGCTCCGGCGGTTTGGGCTTTTCAGGGGCACCCAACGACAGTTTCCTCCTAAATGCTTTGAAAACACTTTCTAGGCTATTCAGAGTACTTTTACATCTCTAGAAATGTATTTTAACAAGAGAGAATGATCTCATTCTCTCTTGATTTTAAGTGGTGCTAAAAAATTTATATCTGTTCGGTCATCCTAGGGCAACTTGAGTCTTTTCGAAATTACTAGGGCTTCGATATTATTTTCCCGAAAATTTTAGCTACGATTTAAAGTTTTACGAAAGTGATAGTTTTTGTGATTCCTCTCTGCATCGCATTTTCGATTCCGAAAATTTTAGGTTTCCTTTCTCTACGAAAAGTGGCCTAACATGGGGAGGGAAATGGAAAAAATTATAGTTCAGAAAGTCGTAGGGAATTTAATAATTAAGCTTCGAAAATTGTACCTGAATTGAACGGTCATCTAGAAATTTTTAGCTTTCATCAAGCTATAGAAAATTCTAGGCAAGTTTTGCTTCTCCGAACAGATATTTCACAGAAAACAGTCGTTGGGTGCCCCTGGCTTTTGGCTCGTGTGCGCATTCACCTTTCCTTTTCCTCATTCAATCACAGTCCTGTAAACTAGAAATGTACTTTGTATTTTTCTTTTTTCGTAATGTTTAGCTGACCCCACGTCATCAATCTTCGGCTTCCAAGGTTAGGTGTTACTGCAGACGACGATCGAATAGTATCCCATGATGCACCTCGATTCATGTTATATTATCACTGCGTACGTGACACATTATGATCAGTAGTAACCTTCAGCACGCGCAAAGTGAACATCGATCGCAGTGCTCGATGTGGATGGTTTCCAAACATGATTCGGTTCAGCAGCTTCTGCTTTTGAGATTATCGAGTTGGCTAATATTCACTGTGCTTTAAAGGAGAATTTCAGCGTTGCTTTGACTGAGAAGGGTTTTACATGTATTCCACTGATCTGTCGAGAACTACTTGTGCCGCGCTCGGTCGCACTGTAAACACAAATTATAAGACTCGCAATTGATAAGCTTCGCTAGGTTCACTAGGAGAACCCAGGCCAGAGGAGAACCAAAACTATGACTGATCTATAAAGTGGTTCCAACAAAACATCCGCTACGCTGTGAAGCTAATTAACGAAGGATAATTTATTACAGCATCGCGCTCAAAGGAGCTGAAGTTTACAATGGCAGTTACAAATAAAATTTAACCTATCGATGCGACAAACAATAGTCCATTTTCGAGTTCGCTATGACCGCTGAATTAAAGAAGTGAAGACGCATTTTTTACAGCCTTAGCCTCAATCTGAAGTAATACATTCACAAATTCCAACGAGAAAAAGACCTGTTTATTACACTGTCTATTGTGTATATTCAAATTTTAAACACTTACTTGCCTGAATTTCTGAATATTTTACTCTACGTCGAGGCTAACCCTGTATGAATGTGTCGTTAATGTTTATATTCAGCGGTAATTTTTAATTCGAAACTGGACTATTCTCTGAAGCACAGTCTACCCGGTACTGACTCAAGCAATCTTCAAGGAAATTTCCTGGCCAGAATACTGATCTGTTCTTTTGAATAAACAAAGTTTCTGCATGATGTTTCTTTTTCAAATTCTGAGCAGGCTTCAGTTTACGTTGTGCCGGCTTGCATGCTGCGTGGTTCCTTTCTTTGGGCTCTTTTCACACTGAAACACACCGTTATACACCGCTCCTTCTTCGAATTAAAATAATTATAGTCAAATTCCTTTTAAAAATAACCTCTTTGAAAATACAAAGTGATTGCTTCGGCATAAAGCGCTCTCAAAAGCGCCCAACAGATTGTAGCCTTCATCAGGCTTTACACATATATTATGACACATGGCGTTGAAATGTGATAAAAGATTCGAAATTTCAGCCATCTTTAGTCGACAAAAAAGTCTTCAAAATGTGGGTACTTCTGGGTACTTCTTGGCCTGTACAATATTCAGGACTTCATTTTGCTGGCGTGAGGTCCACATTTGCAAGATTTCAACATATATTCCAGAAAACCTTGAATATTCATGACCTGGTTGTGGGTCACTGAACACTTTGTGATAGGAAGACTAATTGAACCCGTTAAAATAAATGTTTCTAAGTGGAAACTTCGCTCTTAAGCCATTACAAATCGGAGAAATCATGTCAAATAGCGAAATAATGTAATTTTTTTACTTTTACTGGAAATCGAGTGAGAAAAAAGCCGTAGAGAAAACGACCTTATTTCAAGATGGAATCTGCTATGACTGCGATATTGCGTGATGCCTCTGGAAAAATGCATCATGGGATACTATTCGATCCTCCTCTGGTGTTACTGGTAAATAATAACAACAGTACACATTAACCTGCTATCCTGTGGCCAATGGTGCAGTCATTTTACCCCTCTCTTCCCATCAATGTCCTAACACTACAGGGGTACGAAAGAAGATGAACCTGGGAATCGAACTCGACATCGTCCCTCACAGAAGGCCGCTCACTAACCGACTGAGATTTTTCTTGCTCCTTTCTAATGTTAAAGTGGGGCAAAATGAGGTGTATTCGAAGGGAAATGTGCAAATGGCTAATAACAAAACGCTCGAAGGAGCATTTTTGCGTCAGTAATGGCTGTATCTCCTCGTTTCTCGTATTTCTGGAAAATACCTCCTTACACATTGAAAAGGCACCGTGTTAAAAGATGTTTTTGGAGTGGAAAACATCTGCTTTGCGAAGTTTATTTTTTATCTTTCGGATGCGACGATAGAGTAGCGAATCGGTGCAACCGATTCCTTGTAGCAGAAGTAAGGGACGATGAAGGTAAGCCCTATTTTTAGGGATATTAAGAGGAAAGTGTGGCTATTTTATGCGGTAAATTGTCAACAAAGGCACCATGTAAGAACGGTTTTTCCGCACATGGTTTTCAATTAAAATACGGTTCTAACTTGACTTTATCTATTTTGATGATAAGGAGTTGACTTTCTAGCGTTAATGCCACAAAATGCAAAATACACATGTGCATCAACACGTGCTACCCATTTAGTAATGAGTGCCAAGTCTTTCCTTGAATCGTTTCGTCGATTTGCAAGGAGGCGAGATCTACCTTCAGCTCTATTGTCTGATAATGCTAGAACGTCTAAGCCTTCTAAAAAGAGTGGTCCGACACTTAATTGCTATCGAGGTAGATGCAGAATCGACAGACAACCAAGTGCCGGGTCATTCAAGTATCCCACTGCAAGGATCACAACCAGTGGTTAACAGTAATCCACCTAAAGAGCAACCACGCTGGAATGCAGCAGTACGCGGAGAAATCCTTCGAAAATTTTGACTTTGAGATTATTTGAGGTGAGGTGTGTCAAAAGTGGGGAGTGTGAGAATCGTTTGATTGACATTTTTGACATGTTCGTGAGCATTTTGTTATTCCTTTTATGGCGTGATGAAGATATACCACGTGACTAGTTTTACATGTACTTGTTTGGCATGTCTTCGAGTTAGGATTTGATGGATTGTATGCGAGAATTGAAGAGTGAGATGATGTCGATTTGTTGCCGATATGTACCGGTTTCAAGGATTAAAGCGTTGAAATTACAACAAGAGAGTTGCCGTTTCTTACAAGGACGACTTGTCTGATTGAACAGTAGCTAACTATAAATTCAGGAATTCAAGGCCGGTTACCGAAAAGTTAGAAGAATCGTAAAACTGGAAATAAGTGAGATTAGAAATAATAAGTAATTTGGCCGGACGACATAGCGTTGATACTCAACCACATTGATGATCGAAGCACAGAGTCTGCTACTAAGTGTAGAGAATCGAATGAAACTGCAGATGTCGGACTACTCTAAATGCAGCTAAAACTCAGGCAATCGTATAGCGCTCGACCAAACTGCTTAAACACT